TTTGTGTGTGTGTGTGTGTGTGTGTGTGTGTGTGTGTGTGTGTGTGTGTGTGTGTGTGTGTGTTTTGGATTTTCACCACAACAGCCCCTAATCCACCCAGATGAGTAGAACCAAAGTCGAAGCAGCTTTACTACTATTGCAGACAATCAAGCACGCTTGAGTTGAGACATTCCAACAATGAAACAGTTTTACCTCTATAGCAAGGAACATGGAGCACAATAAATCTGCTATATGACTGATTGAAATGCAATCCAACAAAGCATCAACATGTTCCCATTCACATGCCACAATGACGAAGCAGACTTGGAGAGGGAATTCACGCCACACCAGACTGAGATATGCACAGCGGAAGCTCAACTATCAAGTAGAAATGAAGAAGATATCCATTCACAGTCCCTCGACTCTCTCCAGTTCAACCAGCGTCACAAAAAACCCAAGAATCTCAACCGAGCATAAGCAACCTTGAACAAAGTCAAAACGTAGCTTCAACAAGCTTTCGGAATCTCCCTCCTCCCTCCAGCATCATCCTCCACCTCTCTGGCTATGTACCCAGCATGAAACTGCAGCGCCAGACGGCAGACCATCAGTGGCTTCCTCTTACCAGCTCGAACTGCCACAGCGGTCCTCAGAAACCACTCGGAAGACCCAGCGCTGAGTCTGAGACCTCCCAGGAAGAACAACACCAACTCCAGGCTGAAGAAGGAACCTCCAGCTTGAAGAAGAAGAAGAACAGCTGTCAAGAAGAAGAAGATATGGCAGAGCCTAACCCCAACAGCACAGATATGGTGGCACTAGGCTCTGCGCCTGTAGCACTTGCTCCAACGCTGCTTTCGACACTAGCAGTCTAGCAGCGGTCTCCCAGCTAGAGCGCTGTTCCAGCAGCCTGGCTGCATCTACCTTGTCTCCAAACAGCACCTTGCCCACTGAGGACTAACCAGCCAAAAGACCCCAAAAAGATCCCTAACTCTACTTGACTGGCTCGATTTATAGTTCTACACTAACCAACTGGACCGGACTCCTAGGACCTAGGACACAGCTTACAGTTATGGGTCGGTGTTTTCCAGTAACAGTGGTACCGGTCCGAGGCAGTAACAAAGCAACAGTCCGTTTAGGGCTGAACAAGGTTTAGGAAATTCAGACCCGTAGTACCAGTTTAGCAGTAGTTTAGGGAATTTACCGAAATGTCCCTGTTCAGTTAAGGCCTGTTTCAGTTTGCCAGTTAGGACCCAGAACTTAGAAAAATTACAAAAATGACCCGATTAGTATTATTCTCTTGATTTCTTCACTAGAGGGAATGCACAGTCGATTTTCATTACAAAATGACCCGGTAGTATTATTCTCTTGATTTCTTCGTTCATGCGACTGGATCACATCGAAGTCAAAGATCAATGTACGCGACGTCAACACCAATGCCGACCACCAGCATACACCAGGTACGTTCTCTCTCCTCCTCTCATCACCCCTTGGTTCCCCTCTGCATGCGCCTCCTACGCGAAGACCGCCATCGCCATCACCTGCCTGCGCCCCGCAGCCCGGCTATGGCTGCTGTGCGCCCGCTGCCTCAGCAGCACCCCTCACCTCAGCGCCCGTGCTCGCGTCCGACCAGCAGCGCACATGTAGACACTAGTGCAGCAACGCAGCAGTGTGTCCCCATCGCCTGCCAAGGCCAGAGTGAGCCTGCCTGGGCGAGGCACTTTCCTTTATGGAAAACGCGGCCCTGTGTCTGGCTGCGTGGGTCTGGCCTGGGAAGTTTCCAGTAGCTTCCAGTCGTGCCCCAGTGTCTGCGCCCAGGCCCACCTCTGCTGTTACTGGCCTGGGCCCTTTTCAGTTGGGCACCTCCAGACAGCCGTCCAGCCTCCAAGTGTTTGCCGCATTCTCATTGGCTCGTGGAGGTTGTGTGACGACAATGCTGCTTTCTCATTCGTCCATGGGGACTGCGTGATGTGTCTGCCTCCCACTGTGTGTGCCCAGGGTGCAACCAACCGCGCCCCTGGCCTTAACTGTCCAGCTCAGCTGTTGTTTCTGGAAGGGGCCAGCAGAGGCTCGCGTTGCTTTGTAACCAACTGGCGTGCTGCAACTGTCTGATACCCCACGTACGGGAAAATGTCCTAAAGGGGCTTCACGTGGAGATTCAGGCCCGCCTCCACTTAGGGTGGGCACAATCCTTGCTGGGGCCCACGGCCCAGAACACTTGCATGTCTGTGAGGGCCCCGTGCGGGCTCATTCCTCGCATCTTTATGAAGTAGGAATCAATTAACCAATGCCCCATTCTGATGAATATCAATCACGTGCCCCACCACCATGGTTCCATCAGGTCTACTCCCACGAACCCAGTCTCCTTCCAAAAATACTGCCCCGCTCAAAAAAAAAAAAAAAAAAAAAAAAAAAAACTGGCCCCTTTTTTATCAACCCCAGTCAGGCCACCGGGAAGGAAGTAATGATCTGATCCACTCTTTCTTGTAGATTATGAGCATACTTTATTTCTCTTTTCCGTTTTTCCACAGATTTTCAACTCTTCTCCCCCGAGTCCAATAGATCCTTACCTCTCACGATGCCATTTTTAATCCAAAAAAAAATCCAAATAGACCAAGGGGGGTCAGAGCTTATATAAACCCCTTTCATTGGCATCCGTGATCCAACCATTGCCAAAAATGGGTTGACGAAGAATTTCTTCGCACCTTGAAGGGATTTGCTGGGTAGAGGAAGACCGCGCCAAATTTTTAACAATTCTATCCAGAAAAACTGTCCAAAACCAGGTCCTCCCTGATCTCCTCCCAAACCGCTCCTTTGCGTGAAAAGGCACGCGCCCGAGGAATACGCCAAAAACGATCCTCCACCCATGTGAGGGGATGGGTCTCTCTCTTACTGTCACTGAGGCTAACCTACGTACGGATTTGTTCCAAATCCAAACTAACTTTGCCATTGGAGTTCAGTTCCAAAGATCAACCTTTTGAGCCATTGCAGTGTCAGTGCTTGGCATTGGATGATTGGGTCCAGAATCCCCAAAAACCCTTTGGCCTTGGGCTGAATCCGTGACAACCCAAAAGTGAAAACTCTAATATGTTTTTACATCATATGACACCAATCTTACTGTTGGGCATCATCGACAGAATGACCTCTTCTCAGCTGAGCATCAGGTTTTCAGTCTCAAGGGCCCGCATTAGCATCCATAGGAATACCAGCAACCCTACTGTACAATTTTTTCCAGACTCCTCTTCTCAGCTGCGCATCAGATTTTCAACCTCAAGGGTCTGCATTAGCATCCATAGGAATACCCGCAACCCTACCATACAACTTTTTCCCGACTCCGCACGCATACTCACTCGCGCTAGTTATTTGGTGCATCTATCCGACTACATTTGACCACAATTACACCCAGAACCAGGTTGAAAAAGCCTCCAGCTGTGGTAAGCATGCCCTAAGCCACACTCTCGATAGAGTAGAGATCACTGTTCTTTTTCTTTTTCTCACAAAGCAATCAAACTGCACGTTGCCAAACATAACTGAATTCTGATCATGAAGCAATTGCTGTACCGACAAATAACTGAATTGTTGTCATGAGGCAATTACTGTACCAGTAAATCAATTTGCGAGGCGGTCATGCAAGGGGCAGTGTGCCAATATGCTTTTTCATCACTGTGATATGTATAACCATGTGTTGGTCAACCGCGACATGGTCACGATGATGCCATTATCGTGTGTCCATATGCGTAAAAATCGCTATGTGCTGGCCAGATTTGTGGTTAATGATATGCGGTTTAGACCACATATGTGTAGGTTGGGGTGGTAGCCACATTTCTAGTACAGGAACAACCTGTGCAGTTGTTCCTGTACTAGAAATGAATTGTGAATTGTGGAGTTGATCCGTTCCATTTTGAATCTCTTTATTTAGCAGGTAGTGCCAGGTACTGGGCCTTGTCAGAGTTTCATCATCATCATACATGTATAATTTATCAAAATATGCTGTCAAACAAAACTGCCCGTAAACTGTAGGCAGAGAGAGAGAGAGAAGAGGACGGCAAACGAGGGGTTGTGACAGACTGTTCCGTCGGAGTTTCACCGACTGGTCAGGAGGTGGAACCCTCTGCAGTCTGCAGGGTCCCCTAACCGGTGATACTGAAAGTGATAATCCACTCTAGCCCCGGTTGGTTAAGCATCAAGGGCTGCCCGACAAATGATACCCTGAGGTGGTGGGGACCACCAACCACTGCCCTCAAGGTACCTGTGACGAAAATCAAAGCACACAAACTTCCGTGCGTGTGTGTGTGTGTGTGTGTGTGTGTGTGTGTGTG